TCAATCCAAACTCGAAAATTATATTTAACAAGTTCATCATAAATAAGAAGACATAAATCTTTATCTGATTGTGAAAATGATAACATAATATCATATTTATAATTTTTATCATGAATTTTTGATTTTGTAATTGCTTGTTCTTCTTTTTCTAATTTCCATAAAATTCTTTCAACAACTTGTGATATTCCTTGATGAGATGAAGATAGAAAAGATTTTATTTGAATAGAATATTCTTTAAGTTGTTGATAAGCATCTTTATTAAATGTAAGAGCAAAAAGAATTTCTAAAGCAGGTTGTTGTACTTGAAGAGGTTTAAATTTAATATCTGTTGCACAACGAATAATTAATGGAAGACCATTTTGTTTTGTTAATTCATCTTTAATTTGATCATATTGAATTAAATCTAATAAAAAAATATTTAAATATAAATAATTAAACAAATAAACAAATAAAAAAAAAATATCTAAACTTACTTTTGAGACATCGAAGTAAATTATAAAATCTTAATGTTTGATTTGAATCATCAATAACTTTATTAAGAAATTTAATAAAAAGATTTGCAATATTATTTGAATAATCAATATTTTTTGTTTCTTGTTCAGTTGTTATTGATGAAAGAATTTTAAATGAATTTAATTGTATTTCATCATTTTCAAAATTAGTTAATTTTAATATTAATGATATAATATGTTTATTTTGTAGATATTTTTCTAATTGTTTTGATAATGTCATTGTATATAAATTAGGTATTATTGTTCCAATTAATGAATGAGCTGATTTATTATTTATTTTATTATCAGATTGTATTATTGAATAAAGTATATTAATAAATGAATCAATAATATGACAATAATTATCTAATATATCTTTATCAAGAATAATAAATCGATTAAGTTGAATACTAAGTGTTAATAAAAAACAAATTTGACGTAAATTAATTATCATTCGATTATTCCATAAACGAAATAATGATGATTGTTCTATTAACCATTGAGTAAATGGACGAAGAAGTGATTGACGAATATTAATTAAACATTGTTTATGTTGTTTATCCGTTGAATGAGAATAAATATAATCTGTACATGTATTTAATAAAAATCTTTGTCCAGCATCATCATTTTCTTGATTTAAAGATTGAAGAAATATTTCAATAAATAATGATGAACAAATACATTTAACAATATTATCGAATAAATAATCTTTTCTATTATCAAAATTAATTCTTTCGAGACGTTGAATTGTTCGAAATAAATTATCAATACTTTTTATTTGAGGATCTTGTAAATATTTATCATTTATTAATAATTCTTTAAGAAATTGATTTATTTCCATGAGAAATGTTTCATGAAAAATTAATTCTTTTAATGTTGATATACTACTATCCGATATATGACTTGACATTTTTAGAAATAAATTCGAAATTGTTTCGAATATAAAACAAGTTATATCATCAAATTTTTCACCAAAACGCCAACGTTGCATAAGATTTAAATAATAATCACGTAAGATAAAAAAGATACGATGATTAATAATAGTAGAATCGCATAAATTTTTTTCGTTTGAATGAATTGCTAATTCTACGATTTCTTTCATCAATTGCTTATCTGATAATAAATTATTATTTTCGTCAATTTTTCTTACAATAGAATCAAATGATTGTTTGATTTGTTCAACAGTTATTAATCCTCCTTGTTCTTGTAAATGAATAGGTTGTTTTATAATATTTTCAAAATTAACTTGCGTTTCCATCAGTTTGTATTCGATCTCTCATACAATAGTTTTGTGATTAAGAAAAAGATGAAGATGAAGAAAAAAA